GGGGGGAGTCCAGAACCCACTACTGGGTTTACAGTTCCATGATGGTGGGGCGTCTTTCTGTAAGTTTTTTCCTCTATCATTCCTAAACGCAGACATACGCAGTAGGCCTATTTTTAGATTTTTAGTAGGGGCCAACCCAACACATTTTTGGCTGCATGATATGGCCACCATAAATGGCGTAACCTTCGCAACTCAAAAAATTTTCAAGAAAATCTCATAACTAATAGCATTAGATCTTGATTTAGATCTATAACATCAAATTATAGGAAAAAAACATGGGAGGGGGGTTGTGCCTGCCCTGCTGACCACATCCCCCCCCCAATCCTAATGTTTCAAACCCCCACCCCTTGAAGCGCAGTAGTCTGCATGAATCAGGCCTATTACCCTTGAAATATGCCTACATTTCATATTATTTAACTTCAATAAAGGCTGGTGTAATCTTATCTAGATTCTAGATCTAGATGAAAATCTAGATCCTAGATCTAGATTAGATCTCTAGACTCTAGTTCTCAAAATTATAAAATCAAATAGCATCAAATACCTCAATAACTAAATCTAGATTAGGTCTAGAATCTAAAGTAAATTGTGACAGACAAAACAGATTCTAGATCTAGAGATCTAATTCATGTAAAACTAAAACTGGTAAAAATACTTCTGCTACCATACAATACTTGAACATGATGAGATAGGAGGGTGAGGAAGTAAAGTGCAAGAGTAGGTCTACTGACAGAGTTGACAGTGTGACTGATTGATAAACATCTTTTTAGTTTTTCACACTTTTCTTTGTTTACGGTGCCCTAATAATATAATATATTCTAAAATATCTCCATATAGGCTATTGCATTCTCATTCTTACCAGGTCTTTCATACATCCTTTCTCCTACTTGGTAGGTTGGGGTCTCCTCTTCAACTCCTCGTTTCAACTTCAACGGGTAATCATCTTCACGCGAGTTTGGTGTATTTGTGGTATCCTTCAGCCAAACATAACGACGGCCGTGAATATCCGTTGAGACATCGAAATCATTCTTTTTCATGTTTCGAAAATATTCCTTTCCCTTATTACAGATATAGAGACTGATATCGAAAAATACTTTGTTCTGGAGAGAATCGGGCTTGTTCGTATCCATGGCCTCACTGAGGTAAATTTTCTTCAAATCCTCCATTTCAATCCGCATCCTGTTGCATTTGCGTGGATTGGCTCGCAATGCAAGATCAAATGTAGCGTTCGCCAGTTCGAACGTGCGATCACGCAGAATGTCGATGCTTACCTCCTCCAAGAAAAATTTGTGCAAACCAGCCCTCAAATCTTTCAGAGTTAAAGAATCATCATTTTTCACTTTCACTTTTCCATAGTAATCGCGAAGAAAATCCGCAAGTTGAGTGCGAGTCATGTGCGTCACGCTATGAATGGTGTGGCCTTTCGTCACAGCGAATTCAAGCAAGTTCTGTGTAGCCTCTGTGATGAGGCCATCTTCCTCTCCAGACAGAGTCATGTTGGTGCCTTCCAAATCTGAATACTTCGGATTTGAAGACTGTTTCCTAGACTCCATAACATGAACTTTCTCTGAGTTCTCTGTAGGTGACGAAGGATCCATGTCGCGGGCTTGATGACGTCAATCAACAACAAAAGTCTGACCTGACGATTCTACTATCGGGGTGGGGGTGTTGTTGAGATAAAAAGTGTATCAACATTTGGTTAAATAAATAGATAGTTTCAGTTATTGATCTTAATTTTAACTATTATATATGACCTTTTATCATCTAGATAAATCATATTTGCAGGTTTGAGCTATGTTGTTGAAAAGCTAGAGACCGTAAGCTTCCACCCCTATATAGTGAAATAAGCTCGACTTTAGATGCAAGCAATCGTCATCCAATGAGTCAGCCCAACGCCAACTTCCGGCGTAAAAATATTCACCACGGGGACAAGTGTCTGACGTCATTCACTGCCAAGTTTCGGCTTAGGCCTCGGCTTTGATCGCCACCCTAGCAATCACGCAGCGAAAGGCTTGTTTTGCTGACGTCATAGACTGGCAGCACGAGTGTGCTTCGCCAAGCGCGCTCAGACTCAGAACTTCGCGTTAATAAACTCGACGAAAGTGTCGGTGTTTGAGTTGAGGTGTGGACGAAAAACCCGGGTTTGTTTTGACGAGCGAGAAATTGAATTAGAAAGTCCTCCGCCCACCGTGTCGTGCATCATGTATGTGTGTATGCTTTGAAGTTGAATATATTGGCCATTGCTTGACCCCGTCACACGACGTCTCATTTACCTTCGGCCCACGCCCGCCATTGGTGGAGGGACGGGTCACGGAGGCGTATGTGTGTATACCAAACGGTGAATGAGTGGGCGGGTGGTGGACTTCTGTGAGGGGGCGGGGCTGGCGGTGTTGAACTACGGACGGAGAGTTCGCGGGAAGTGTGTGGGAGTGTGTATGTCTGCTGCTGCGCGAAAAGAAATTCGCCCCGCACACAGTGAAGGACGAAGGATGCCGAGTGCTGAGCCCCGAGTGAAGAAATAACACGAATGACATTTTTAGTTCGCTGAAATAGCGAAAGGCCGTCATACAGTAAGGAAACGAGATGACTCCTCTTTCGCACAAACGTGTTTCAGTTCCCGGTTACACAAGGGAAAAACCACGTCGCACATCGCCCCCTCTCTATGAAACCATTAAAAAATAATGTCGGTCAGTGGTTGATATTGTAAGAATAAAAACTAAGTAGGCCTACTGTATACATGAGCGTGAATAGGCTATTGTAACACTAAGATGTTGTTGTAGAAGTCCTAATAAGGACTCATATCGTGTGTTCATATTACCATGACGCACACACACAGACTCAAACTCGAATATAATGCCCCCCCTCGCCCAAACCGCTCTCTCTCTGTCTGTCTGTCTGTCGGTCTGTCTGTCTGTCTGCCTGTCTGTCTGTCTGTCTCTCCTCTCTCTCTCTCTCTCTCTCTCTCTCTCTGTCTG